ATTAAAAATAAATGACATTAATAAAGCCAAAAAGGAGGAATTTCTATTCATCTAAATTCTGCAAGGAAGCATATTTATGCAGATAGATTTGGAAGTGAACAGTACAAACCATTCAGAAGTTTGGCTGCACTGCCTCAGGTTTGGCCTTCCTTGTGACGTAAACAATAAACTCCATTTTGCTATTGAATCAGATTCCTAAAACTTACTGATTGCACAGGTGCCACTCTAACAGCATATTCTCACAGCTGATACAAAATATATCTTCATCTTATTTCTTGTGAACTTTGAGTAGCTGAAGCTCTGTATCACTCTGACAAATGAAGGCTACAACACAGAACTCAGAATTATTTACAGTGAAAGCCAACAAATAGCTCAAATTCTTCTGTTGTTTGCACTGAAGTAATCCTAAAGTAACTTGATTTCTAGAACCAAATTGAGTTTTGATTGAATTTTGTCTGAAATACTTCAGGAGTTGTGTTAACAATTAACTGTAAAAGAGTGAAATAGTCTTTTTCCCCTTGTGGGCTAAGCCGTACTCTTCCAAGGAGGAAGCACTAACCTGTTTATGAAATATAGCATTCCTGAGGAGATATATCTATCCTGTTTTGCTCTTCTCACTTGCTGATCAGCAAGTGTTTCTATCAACTTAGGATCTCTAGAACATGTTGCTGTGGGCTGCGAAATCCCAAACTACCAAGACTGAAAAGGATTCAAGTATTTTTACCCTTTGTAAAACCTGATCTCAGCTCTCTTACATGGTAGCCAAGATGGTGGTGTAAGAAAAACCGAAACTCACCCTGGCCACAAAGTGTCTGGGATCTCATATTCACAGAACAAACTTTCTCTGTATAAAGAAAATATCAGAAACCTGATGCTCAGTGCTGTTTCTAAAACAAAGGGGTTTGTAATCTATCAGCAGTCTTTCTGACTCTAACTGAACAGGTTTAATCAGCTCTCTGTTGGCTACAAGAGGTCGTCACATTTACACACTTGCTCCCTAATTTCACCAAATTAAGCCAGGTGCTTTTTCCTTTGGTTATGATTGTAAAAACAGTGGGTATCTAGTGCCCTATACAGCAAGACAGGCGGAATTCTTTGATTGAATAGCTGCCAAAGAATTTAAGAAAAAAATGTTGTCAATATTTAAGAACAGCCCATACAACTTCTTTACTAAAAAATGAAATGTACTTGAAGTATATTCAAGGCAATTATTCACCTCTGTAAACCAGGTGAAAGCACTGGTACCGTCTGGTTAAAATCCATACTGGATTTTGATTCCAAATCTACTCTAGAAAAACAACTACTCTGGTTTATTAGATCAGTTTGTGAGCTGTATAAATAAGCACCCTTGATAGAATGATAAAGTTCTGACAGTCTGCAATAGCCTGGGGAGACTATTCAATATGTCATTGTGCTAAGGAAGTGCTGTACTTTTGTGAAATGCTTTAATACAGTGATATTGACAGGACCAAGAGAGCCTAAGGTAAATAAATATTGTCTCCTTTTTGAGAAAGCTGTTTATTTCATGGTATCTTCATCCTTAATAAATGCTTAGACTCACTTTATGAATTACAGTTTTATCACAAAATAAGGATTATTTTAGTCATTTCAGTGAAATACACCATGACACCTCCAGGCAGGTAAAAAGCTGTTCAGGCATTGTTGAGTCAGGCAACAACAAGCAGCTGTAGAACATCTGCATGTTAGTTTTGAAGACTAGAGACTTACATAATCTTTATATATCCAAAGAACAGGATGAACCAAGAAATTATGTTTTATCTACCTAGCAGATTTTTCTGTATTATTTCTGTATTTGTCTACATGGGAAACTAATAAAAGCAGGAAATAATTTCAAATCAAGTAGAATAAAGCTGTTCTACTTCGCATCCTTCAGTTTTTAGCAGATATTATCATTTCACAGAACAGGCTGTTACTTTTTGTTTATATTTAGTGTTACATGTCTTTCAAGATCATGTACTGAGCAACAATCTAAAATAAATTAATACACTCAGCAAGAGATGAAAGAAAACAAAAATAATGAAGAGACAACATAGTGTAATACTTGTTATAAAATAAAGAGTTTGTGAGATCAGAGGGATAAAAAAAAAATCAGTGTAACTAAAGGTTTAGGTGAGATTTGGGGTCAGACTCTACCTCTCCTTTGATTGTTTTTTCTCAACAGACCTGCAGCCCCAGCATATAATGTGTACTTAAGACAAGGCACCTGTATAATTGGAGATGTTCTACCCTCCCCTGGCTCCCTGTCCATAGTGGGCCTCTGTGTCTTGGCTCAGACATTAACTCCCCTGATAAACTCTGATTAAATATGGAGCATCTTAATGGACTACTGCATATACTAATGTCATCTTTATTGCATAGCATATAAAAATACAAACTGAAATAGCTAAACTATATGTAGGAAATAGTATTAAATATTGTAGTATATTAAAACCATTAAGAATTTCATGCAGAAAATCTCAAAAAATTGCACAACAAAATTGCACATAGTTCTTTCTCCTCCTACTCCAGCAAAGTAAGAGGAAATATCACAGCCATATTTGCATATACAAATCTGCTTTTGAATTCTGAACCCTGACTCTTCAAGTCAAGCTTAACTGGTATCTTGAACTGGGAGTAAAGTTTCTAAATTAACTGTTATTACTTTTGTCTGTACTCCTTCACTGTTTATCCCCAAGGCACCATGGCAGTTCGTAGTTGACCACCAGGGAACAAGGCAGAAAGCTGTTAAAACAGAAGCATCTGTTAGAAACAAGGGTAGAGGGGCTCCTGCTGCTGCTGTGGTAATAGAGAAAACCAAAAATGTGACTGCAACACAGACCAAGAAAAAGTTCTGCAGAGACTATGAGTTAATAGTGCTCATATCATTTCTGTCTCCATTGCTGCCCTGTCAGATGGACCAATGCAAGACCAAAACACCACTTTGGTAAAGATCTTTATAGATACTTAATATCCCTTCACCTTGTCTCATCTACTCACAGCAAGCACAAAGCTCCTGATTTCTGTTCCTTCTTGGCCATGAGGTTGGCTTAGCAATACACCTCTGCAAAATGTTCTAGTTTTTACCACATTATCTACTGCTGTACCAGCATTATTCCCTTTCCATGTTTTACATCACAAATTATGTCAGAATAATAATGAATCAAATCAAAACACAGAATGACAGTGTTTACCTGATGTGAACATGCTCTGAGAGTGAAATTAGACTTGCTAAAATGCACATGCATAAAACTCTCATCTTTTATATACCTCATCCAGTGTTCTCGAAAATATATAAGTACATACTATGAACAAAGTAGTTCAGCACAAAATGAAACTATGCTATGCCTGCTACAAGTTCAATGTCCAACAAAAATTAGCTTTTACATGTTGTGGGAACACCTCTTGCATCATAGTTTAAGACTCATGGATTTTTTTCTATTTTTTCATATCCTTCCTCATCAAGCTTTTCTCAATGGTTTTCTCACAACTGTTAACAGAAATCCAAATTTTCCAATTATCTGTGAGTTTTGCTCCATGTACTGACATGGAGATACATGTACATGACTGTGTATAGTAAGCATGTCCTGACATGCTTAGCTATGGCCATCTTCCTAAGCGATGCTTTCTTAAAACCTTGCTATTTTCATCCATTTCTTCCCTTGTGAAACAAGGTCATTTTAAGCACATTACCTGTCAAGTTTCAGTCATTGCTATGTAAACATGTATTTGTCTTCTTATGGTTGCTCAAATGAGTGGTAAATTGAGTCAGGTAGAATTGAGATCCTAGCACTTCCTTAAAATTACAATTAGACTGATAAGAATTTAATGATCTTGCAATCTACTGGTGAAAACTCTCATTTAAGTTACAGTCTTGTTAACTTTTCTTCCTTCACTCTAGTGAAAGCCAAACATATAAATGGGGGGAAGGAAATGAAGTAATACAAATTATACAGAAATACGTTTAAATGGTAATCATCAGTACTTCAGTTAAATATCCCCAAACAATCATTCAGAATGTTTTTGATGCTAACATCTTTAATCATTTTGCACATCCAGAATAGATTCTATGACATTTTGACTTCAGCATTTAGTTAAAAACAGCAACAAGCCAAAAAAACAAACCAAAAAAAAGTGTTTCAGTAAATATTATCATAAAACATGGATTTGAATTTAAACAAAAAATAAGCAACCTGACTGTCAATCAAAACATTAAGAAAAAACACTGTAAACTTTATGTTATTTCATCCTGCAATTCTTCTCAATAATGTTTGTTTATAGCAATAAAAATAAGTATTACAATATCCTAGATAAGAACTCTTTATTATGATTAAATAAACCTAGTGCTATTTCATCTTTAGAAAGAGATCAGACTTGCAAAGAAATACTCAATAGTAATTTGAAAACCATGTTATGCTACACTTGCATTTAATAAGGTAACAATTTACATTTATGCAGTACCTTTTATCCCAAAGCAATTTACAATTTACAGCCAGAGATTATCACTTCATCTCCAGTGGAACTCAGCAACTGTGAAGTGTTGCTCTGTAAAAATTCTGGTAGGTAACAATAAATATAAGGTTTCAGTTGAATAACTGTGACTCTTATATTTATACTTCCAATTAAATCAAACAAAAATATTAAATTATTTTTCTGAAGTTACATTGCCCTTTTTACCTACCATCCACTTGCAAATTGAGAAACAGGTTCTACAAGAAGCAGAAAAACATTTGCCTTTTAAAGAGTGTCTAAAATACAGCAATATTGCTGGTGCAGCAAGGATTCTGAAAGTGCCATCTAAGATATGGGTAGAACTTCTTCCTGAACTGCTTCTTATGAACAGTGTTTAGGAGTAGTTTGGGATCAGAAGCCACATTTAGAAATACTTCTGATGTTCAGATATGTCAATATAGACGTTTAAGGGAAAAAAAATATGGATATACAAAGCATTCAAAATGTAACAAGTTCGATTTTATCCACTAGAATAATCATCTTACCTTAAAACAGGTTATATACTTCTATTTTCTGTGAATTTACTCTCTGGAATGCACACTTTCACCTTACAGCTTGTATCAACAAGGATGAATAATTGCTCCTTTAAAAGACAAAGAAACAAAACAAAACAAAAAGCATTGAAAGCAAGAAGTTATATGACTAAAAACACATTGGTTTTAGGGTAAAAACACTGTCTAGCTTGCTCTAAGGTTAAACAAAATCAATTTTGTTGTTCCAAGAAAATTTGGCACGAGCATAAGTATGACTGAAATTCAGGCTTTCCTGTATAGAAAAACAAGGACGTGAATGAAAAGGACAGAAAGTATAAAACACTGATAAATGTGTAAACACCTTCTTGTCCAATCAGCATGTGGAACCACCTGACATGAGATATGTCAAAACATATATCAAAACATGAAAAACAAAACTTAAAATTTCAGCACCAGTGGATCATTTCATCCTCAGCACACAAGACAAAGTCCTTCAAGAAATAAATGGCCAACACTGGAATGTAACACCTGGACCTGACCATGCCATGACACATTTAAATTGCCTAACACAACTCTATGTAAACTTTCATAAAATATTAAGCAATTTTTAGAATTTGTAGTCTCCTTTGGAGACTATGACCACAGAAGGGAAAGAAGAGTTCACAAAAACCTACATAAAAAGTCCATTTCAGTTCCAGGATCAGGTTCTGATTCTTGCCCCAGGGCCTCCAGAGGGCTGTGGTTCAGTTGACCTTCTATCAGACCCTAGCAGAGTGGGGAGGAGGAAGACACTGCAACAAGAGGCAGCTCTCTAAGAACCTGTTGGTGACAGAACCAGACAGATCACTGACCTGACTGATTTCATTTCACAGGATACACAAAAGTCCTACAAGAAGTGGCCATATTGTCGTTTCTATGTTTTAAATTAATAGAAAGAACAAGGAAAGCACTAATTGATCATCTGCCGTGAAAAGATTTGGAGAAATACTTAAAGCAGCAACATGAATACCCTGTCAGAATAAATTATAAAACATGCATTTCTATATATATATCTCAGAGTAAATACTTCATGCAGTCTGACAAGGCCATTTTGAATTGATCACACCCAGTTCTTCTCGGACACTCATGCATAAACACTTGCTACAACAATATTAATGAGCAATGACATAAGGAATTTTGTTTTAACCAAACAGACTCCATCTGAACAGTTCCATGCTTAAACCCATAAACTCCTTCCCCACCTCCCTTAGGCAAATGAGGGTTTTTACTTTAAAGGTGAAAAAATTGATCATATAGATGTCATTTCATACATTTTTTTCAGCAAACCCTTCCAATAGAAGTGCAGTATAATAAACAGAAACATAACTAGGCTACAGTGGAGCCGTGTTCCTCCTCACAGAATGTATTCACATCCCTCCTCATTCTACATCAGGCTAGTTATTTGCAGACTTTGAAAGAAGTAAAAATGCTTCAGAGTCTTAGCAAACCAACCCAGCCAGACAAATCTCTCACAGTTTGAATTTAATTTCATTTTCTCTGCAACTGTCACTTTCTGACCTCAGCCAATCTTTTCTAAAGACCGTATTCTACTACATGGGTTTAGAACAAAACAAAACAAAAAAGCAGAAGGTTAAACCAAAAGATCTTAGTGATTTCTAAGAGATTAATGGTTTGCACCAGGTCCTAAACATCTGAATATTGAAATAATATTATTTTGGTTGCATCTATTCAGTAATCTGAAGGGCCAAGTGACTTCTCAATACATTTTTTTATGCTGCTCTCCTCCTAGCTTTCACTCAGAGAACAAAATCACAGAGCATATCACAGGAGCTATAGAAGCATGCTACAAATTGTGAGTCCCTATCCACACTACATCTTTGTATGTCAGTAAAAAATCACATGGAAATTTCAGGAGACAGTATGTGTAACATAAGAAGATCAATTATCTGCCACCTGGCTTGTGGTCAGAAAGTTAAAAATATTCCTGCTCTAATTTATGCCAAAATTTGTGGAGTGCAGAAGGTATTCCAGGAGAATGTGATCCAGGATTTCATTATCCCTAACACCAAGCATCATAAGCAGCAGATAACTGTCACTGGTGTTGTCTGTCTTCTGAAGCACCAGAGCACACCCTGTACCAACAAAAAGAGTCAGTCCCTCCTTACAGACAACATGTGAAGATCTCACTTCTACTTGAAGTTTGATGTTTCTATCAAACAGGAATGGAAACTTCTTTCTTTTTCCTTCATTTTTTTCCGTCCCCCAGAAAAGAAAATTCTTATTACCACTGCAGAGCAATAGTTTGACTAACACTGACATTCCTTAGTGGACCCCATTTAGCACAGAAACTGTTTATTTCTGCTAGAATTTGCAGTGCAGCATTATAGTGATTCTTTTATCTTCATTTTTCTCCCTTGACATGAACACCAGTGCATACAATATGAAAGTTAGTCTCTGCACACACTGTTCTGCAGACTCTGTGGCATCCTGATGAGCTCAAACACCTTCCTTAAAGAAGTTTAAACTAAAGGTGACAGAAGGCTGGATCTTTAATTCTTCTTATTGCACGGAGAAATATAAATAGGCCCCATCAACATGCCCTTGCACCCATCAGCCTTCCCTTTGGTGCTCCCTGCACAAGTGTCCCTGTGTTTCACATGGACAAGTGTCCATGCATTTGCACAAGGCTCTTGGTGGCCATTCCCTCTGTTTTCTGGCCTGTGCAACTCAAGCCACCCCCAAAGCACTGCAATGCCACAGCTCCTCCCAGCTCCTCAGTCAGTGTATAAAATACAAATACCTGGGGAGAAGCTGCCGCACCTGTTGGGAATGTGAAGGATGCCAGACTCCAGCAGATGGAAACCAAAGCTGTTGCGCAGTGTGGGGACACTGCAGATCCCACGTGGCCCTCTCCATTTTTAAATTATACATTTCCCACAGAGAACTGTATCAGGATTTCTGAACCAGCTAAGAGACCATTAACACCCTGAATGCAAACACTTTCAGAAAGAGCTGAGCTAAACCCAGAACTTATCCCACAAAATCTGCTTGACTACTTGCATGAAATTAAAGGTCTTTAAAAAGTAACCATTCATGTAATGTCTTGTACTTGCTTAATCAGATAATAAGCAAACAAAAATGGTCTATTATGTAAATTTCCTTCTCTTGAATATGACAAGGTGCTTTTCCTTTGCATATTACACCACCAAGTGGCCTAATACTCTTATTTTTTGTTCAATGGGTTTCCTCTAGAGACACCACTACACAAAACAAAATTTAATTGAAAAAGGTGAATTGCTACCTAAACAAAAAAAACAAAAAAAAACACAAAAAACAACCAACTGGAGTATCATCTAAGACATTCAGTTAGACATTTGTTTTAAACTTTGTCCTATTATAGCTTGGAAGTGCAAATTTAATACAAGTACAAATTTCATCATCCTTTTTCCTCTTACAACAATTTAAATCTTACTAGGAAAAGGTTTCTTTCCATATTATTTGGGTAATACAAATATCTAATGGAGCATTATGATGTGCCTGCTATGAGCACAGGCATTTTCAGATATTTTATTCAATTTAAAACACAACAAAAGTAATTAAAATACATACTCAGGGAAAACAAATGTTTAGGAGTTTAACTAAAGTCTGGCTAAGTGTGTGAATCAAGGAAGTTCAGAACTGGCTGGTAGTATCTTAACTGAACAAGCAAATCTTGCATGTATCTGAAATGAGCAGGACTACATATATGAGTGAGGGCAATGGGAACAGGCTTAGAATCATGAGTAAATATAATTTGGTCACATCACAAAAATTCTTAGGTTGGACTCATCAGTTCAACCTAGAGTTCAAACTTTTCATCCTCAATTTCAATGCCCAGTCTTATGCTGTTACCAGATGGTGTGGTTTTGTCTGGAAATCTACTCCATGTTTTGACCAAAATACATATATATATACATATAATCTACTGGCCTCTGCCAGTAAGTCCCCAAGGAAATTACTTGCTGCAATTGCTAAGACAGGCTTCAGTTCCAACTTGTTTGCTGTTAAGGTTTCTCCCTTCTTTTACTCTGAATCCTCCATTTGACTAGGGAAAAGCAGGGATGATGGATAAATCCCTTTTGTCCATCAATCTCCTCTCATGAGGATCCAGTTGAATCCTGTTTAATTTTCCCAACCTGTGCAGAAATAGCAGCCAAGAACCAAGGTCATAAATGTTTAAATTTCATGCAATTTCATGCATGTCTAGCAAAAATTTTGCTATTTTAGCTCAGAGGTGTGCAACAAGGTATTTCTTCAGGTTCACAAAATCACTTCAAAAGAGAATTATTAAAAGAGGTGCCAGCAGGATTTGGGCAAGGTCACAGGAAACATATTTACAAAACACAGACTTGTACAAATATAAACATGCACAGATCCTAGAGCATGATCCATATGAGCGCTCTAAGGCCAATAATAATATAATCATCCCTATGACTGAATTACAACCTGATTACAAAGTTTATTACAGTCATAAGGTTCTTGGGGTAGAAACAGATAATTGCCTATTTTCATGAGTAAATGAATTAGACATTTCAGTGCTAAACTGAAAAAAGAGAAAATGCATCATAATGATGAAACTGTCTATTTAAATTAAGGGAAAAAACTTGATCTGTCAGAGTGGATTTTGTCAGGACATGGAAAATGACAATGATCCTTAATGCTCAGATATCAAGAAAATAGTCATATTGATCACATTTTCAGCTAATGAGTAACTGATTTAAAATTCATATTAATAATTCAATCAAGAAAATATTTACTATGTTCTTTACTTCAGCCATATGTGTTCAGGTATTTTTAGAAATGTGTGTTGGTGTAAAATACTGGTTTAAACTGAATGCCTGTCACAAAAACTTTGTTCCAGTGTTTCCATGTGTCACAGACTACAAACCAAACCTGCTTATGAAAAACTCCCAGTGGCTGTAGTATCCCAGGTTTCTACATGCTTGTGCATTCACAGGCACCTGCTTCCAAAGCCTTTGGCACACTCTCCTCCTGTGCCTTGAAGCAGCCTCTGCACCTTTCTACTGTTGTCAGGATCTACCTCTTCCTCCTGAAGCAGTGATTAAAGAAACAAGGTTTCACTAAATTTTTTCATATCTCTGTTAACACATTAAATCATAATGCCTATGCTATATACCCACCTGGGTCTCAATAAAAGTTCTCTATGAGCTGGAAAAGGTATATGTGAAAACACTTGGACATCTTGGAAGTGTTGAAGGCTAGACTGGATGGAGCTCTGCGTAACCTGGTCTACTGAAAGGTGTCCCTGTCTGTGGCAGAGGGGCTGGAACTAGGGGTTTGTCTTTAAGGTCCTTTCCAGCCCAAACCATTCATGACTCAATGATCTATTTTCCAACATTTTCTCTGTAGTGGCTGACAGTGATAACACACATTATTGTCTCTCACTTTTAAATGCTAGTTGCTTCAGATACTTGACACAGATTAAGAAAATGACCCTCAGAAAACATGCAATAAATTGAAACTATTAATTCTTCACATTAAACCAACAAGAATGAGACACAACTGTCTTTCTAATATCAAACAGTGACAGCTCTTCATAGGCTTGCAAATGGTGTTTCAGACACTATGACCAGCTAGGGTATGAGGGGTTTGGAGGGGGAAGAAATACTGATCTTCTAATGGGAAAGCAAAGCTTCCCAGGATGGTAACAAGGTACATAAAGTCAGTTACATACCAAGGATGGTAACGTCAGTGTGTATTCTAGGTGTGTGTGAGGACTAACTGTTCAGAAGTATCCTTTTCTGACCCAGAGGATGCTATTGAAAGACACACCTAGCATCTCTCAATATTGGCCAGATCTCACATTACTTGCCTGTGTGTAATTTTCTGAGATTTTATTAAATTCAGGGCAAGATAAGTCAGGAAATTTCAGAATAACAATTGAACAAACGATCTTACCATATGTCATTTAAAAGAAAAAACCTTAGAAAGTCTGCCAATCTTGTGGGAACAGAGGATATAGCAACATATTTTTCATTCTATAAAACATGTCCTTTAAATATTTACTAGTCTTGTATTTTCTACATGTGGCCACATCCCAAGCAAAAGCCCTCTACCTCTCATTAAAGTATGCTTAAGAACATTCACTGCATATGTAATAAGAGTTTTAAAGGATCCAGATGTGAATTAGAAAAACAACTGTGTCCATTATAACTGAATTTAAAACTACTGGAATAAGATCAAGCAGGAAAGCTGTGGTTTATTCCAGAGCACCACCCACACAATTCTCTGAGTAGGATACCAAATGACAGTAATGTAACCAGCAAAATACAAAACAAAGTTGTCACATGTGATTACACTCCCAGTGACTGAATGGACAACAGGCAAGAGATTTTCTTGATCTGCACAAGCTCTCAAAACAAACCTTGTATCACTGTACAGCCATACATATCATAAAATTCTAATTAACAACATTTTTGGTTTTCTTTTTGGCTATAAAACATCACATATGATTCAACAAACTTGAGGAATACTTAGAGGAATATTGTGTGGGAATAAATTAAAGCTTCTCTTTTGAAATAGAAATAGTTTATTTTTGCACTCCAAACTTCAGAGAAGTGAAAATTTAAGATGCATTATTGAAGAGGCCTTGGCAGAAAATAATACCAATACAGTGCTGTTGAAACAGCAATGACTGCAGCTTAAGCAATAGCAACAAATACACTATGAACTTTGAAAGACTACAATCAGAGTTGCATTTAATTTTGAAAACCAGCTGCTTGCTTTGGGAGCACTCCCAGGCAAGGCAAATGGGCAACCTCTAAAATTTCTAGAGGTCAGAATTTCTAAGTTATTTATGACCCGTAATGAACAATAGATATATTTTCCTTAGAGTTTTAACCTGATCATAAAGTATTTGCTTTCAAAAGTAGTGAACAAGTTTAGGCACTCAATCAGCAAGGCTGAGCCTGTCCTGAACTGAGCAGGACAGGCACAACCATCACTGCTGTTTGTCAGGGATGGCCCAGGACAGACATGTCCCTTGGATGGGTATGGACTACACATGCCTCTGCCAACTGCTCCTCGGGTAGACACATCCTCTGCTCTTCTCACTGGTACAGATTTAGGCACAGGTTCTCAAATCCAGGAACAGCAAGCCTTTGTCCTGGATTGAGCGTCTGTGGTGAGCTGGAGCTCTTGCCTGATGTGCCCGGCCAGCAGCAGCCAGGTCGTAGCCACATCCCAGGCAAGAAGCCGCCAAACCTCGCAGGCCTCTTGGCATCCAGTCAAGTGCAGAGTAAACTCTTCCGTCAGGACGGGCTGCCACGGCACCCCTCCTGCGGCTGTCACCTTCGGCCCCCGCCACACACAGTCATGGCAGGGGACATTCTGTGGCACCGGGTTCTGCGAACACTGCCGGACTCAGGGTGAGTACTCGGGCGGGGGAGCCACCGTCCCTGAGGGTGTTTAAGGATAGATCGGACGTGGCACTCGGTGGCAGGGTCTGGTTGACAGGGCAATAATCGGTGACAGGTGTGACTCGATGGCCGCAGAGCTCTTTTCCAGCCTCAATGGTTCTGTGCCCCCGTGAATCCCGGCTCTTAGTCTCTGAAACGCTGCATTGCCCCGGGTTCCCAAGGGTGGAATAAGAGGGGCAGAGATGCGGGCACAGCCCGCCTCAGGCCGGGAGCAAGGGCCACCGCCGAGAGACCAGCGAGGAGCTGCTGGCGGCTCCGTGAGGGGAGAGGGCGTGTGAGGCTGCGGGCAGGTGCAGGACAGGCGAGATTCAGATTAGGTATTAGAAAAAACAATTCACTACTCGGGTGGCCTGGCACTGGAACAGGCTGCCCAGGGAGGTGGTGGAGACATCAATCATCCCTAGAGGTGTGAAGAGGTGCGTGGGTCTGGCTCGGTGATGTGGTTTAGGGGTTGCGGTGGTAGTGCTGGCTTGACAGCAGGACTTAATGATTTTAAAGTTCTCTTCCAGCCTTGAACATTCTAGGATTCAGTAGGAAGCCGTGAGGGTTCTGGAGAGGCGACGCTGGCCGGGGAGCGGAGGGGGCTGCTCACAGGGGAAAATGTCCCGAGCTCGCCTCTTTCAGGCGCAGAGCGGATCGCGGCTCGGGGATCGGGGATGTCGGCCCGGGGATCGCGGCTTAGGGATCGAGGCTCTGGGTTTGAAGCTCA